TTGTACATTTTTTGATAAGGGTCATTTGGACTGGTGTGAGGTGGTATCTCATTATAGTTTTGATTTGCATTTCTCTAATAATTAGAGGGACTTCCCTGGTGGCTCAAATGGTAAAGCACCTGCCTACAATGCGGGAGACCCAGGTTCAATCCCTGGTTTGGGAAGATCCCCTGGAGAAGGAAATGGCAACCCACTCCAGTGTTCTTGCCTGGAGAATCCCATGGATGGAGGAGCCTGGTGGGCCACAGTCCATGGGGTCACAAAGAGTCGGGCATCTTTTCATGTGTCTGTTGATCAGCTGTATGTCTTCTTCAGAGAAATGCTTATTTAGATCTTCTACCCATGTTTGGGTTGAGTTGTTGTTTTGATTTTTAATTTTTATATCAAGATGCATACGCTGTTTTATAGTTTAGAGATTAATCCCTGGAGATTAATCACATCATTTGCAAATATTTTCCCCATTCTGTAGGTTGTCTTTTCAGTTTGTGTTCAGTTTCCTTTGCTGAGCAGGAATTTTTAAGTTTAACTAGATCCGATTTGTTTATTTTTTATTTCCGTTACTCTGGGAGTCACATTCATAAAGATATCGCTGTGATTTATATCAAAGAGATTCTGTGTATCTTTTCCTCTAGGAGATTTACAGTATCCAGCCTTAAATTTAGGCCTTTAATTCATTTTGAGTTTATATATGTGTGTGTGCTGTTAGAAAATGTTTTAATTTCATTGTTTTCCATATAGTTATCTAGCTTCCCAGCATCATTTATTGAGGAGATTTTTTTGTTCATTGTATATTCTTAACTCCTTTGTTGTAGATTACTTGAATGTATGTGCATGGGTTTATTTCTGGGCTTTCTATCTTGTTCCGTTGATCTGTATTTCCATTTTTGTACCTGTGTGTCATTTTTAAATTAAAATATAAATGCTTCTTGCAAAATCCCTTGTTAATCTTCTGGGAAAAGGCAAAATATAGCAGTAGTGTAAAAGATTGCAAAATTGACCATCATCATCAAGCTACAGCAATGTTGGACTTCTCTTCATTGATAAATCTAAACCTTAAATATTTAGAGCAAACTTAAAAATTTGTAAGAGAATAAATGTTTACAAAAAATGCAAACGGTGCCTCGGGACCTCTGATATTCCAAACTTTTTTTCTTTTTGCACATTCATGATGCTATTTCTTATATTTATGAACACTGGATTCATTTTTCTGCTTTAAGTTTTAAATAAAATGTGAAACTATTTACACTAAAAGACTGGCCTAAAAACAAAACAAAACAAACAAAACTAAAAACAGCTGTGTGTGCATGTATGTGTATGTGTATATTTTTGTATTGAGTTAAAAAATGCTTTCATTAGATGAGTTTAGACCCAAAGGAAAATTTTTTGGCTTTGTCCAGTCAATAAGATTAGGTACTTTGAGAGACAGGAGGCCTTTACTAACTTGCTGATAGTAAGTCAAGTGAACAATAACTGTTAATGTCTACATTCAGTGGCCTTTTCCTCTTCAGGAGATACAAGGAAGTAAACAGATTTAGATGTAGATATAGAAATGGTGAGATATACATGAATATTCTGATCTATCTTAAGATGTACAGATGTATCTATACATATATTTATATATTTTAGAGGTACTTATTTGATTTAATTTTAAAATACAGCTTGCTATCTTTGCTCCTAGAATCTACCATGCATAGAAATAAATAGCCTCCAACTAATAAAAATAAATGAAAAAAATAAATAAACAAAACTATCCTTAAAGTAAAAAAAAAAAAGAAAGAAATAGTTTGGCCTTAGTGAGAGAATTTTTGCTCAGCTTCCTCACACAGAAAAGTAAGTGACACCAGGGACTCATTCAGTAGTATAGCACTTGGTAACAGACAAGTAACAAGTCAAATACCCTTAGCATATATATATATATACACATATGTATATATATATATATATAGTATATATATATATATACTATATATATATATATATATATATATATATATATATATATATAACTGGACAAGAGAAAAAACGTCAGAAGACTTTCTCTAAAAGGAACAAAAATCCCCTTATTATATTATATGTGGTAATAGCATCTCTCCCATTTTCCTGGGGATTTTAATGTTCTCAATAGTAAAGTAAGAGGGGTACTCTTTCAGCAAGAGACCTAGAAAGCTAGACTTTACAAAAAAGGTTCAGGTCATTATTTTTAAATATTTTAGTAGGGCAGCATTAAAATCAGTGTTATGGTTGATTTGTAAAGCTCTTTTCATATTGTTTTTGAGTTTTAATATTAAGGAATTTGTGGAATTTGTAACAGATGTAATTCATAGACACTGAATTTGTTTCATTTAGATATAATGCCTACACATATACATGAGAGATAAAAAAAGTCAAACACTATATGGCAAGTCTTTGGATTTCTTTTTTTTTAACATTTCTTTTCTTTTTTTATTCTATAGATCAGTGGGTTTTGTATCTGTAATTCTTTCATCATATCAGCAAAGAGAAAATAAACTCTCATGTAAATCATTTTCCCCCCATCTGGAGCATATTAAAACCATGTCCCCCCCTCCCTTTTTTTCTCTTTTAAGCAGACTCTTTTTTCCCTATTTGCTAATCAGTTCATCCACCATTACATTTTAAATGAAATTGCCAGACCCTTGTCCCTCCCCAAATTTCAGCCTGATGTAAGAAAGTGGGAAGCAGACTTTCCTTGCTTTAGAATAGTGACCTAGATTCAATTACAGATAGATTCAGAAGAGAGAAGTGACACCTCACAATTTTCTTAGAAGTCTCAAAGAAAAAAATTAGAAATCCCAAAACAATACTTAGTGGAAAAGAATCTGTTTATTTCCACATTCTACCGACTTATTTTTTTCTCTCCCTTAATTGCATTACTTTGGTCCATTTAATTGTTTCTGCTGTAACATCACAATATATTCCCAAGGAATATTTAGAATCATAAAAATCAAGGAAATTTCTGATTTTGTTTTTGAGAGTGGGAGTCTATAAACGGGATGTGTGTAATCCTGCAAATCGAACCCAAACAAGATAAAAAATAACCACATAAGAGATATATTTTCCCCCTTATGTTCTAAAGAAAAAGCAAACAAATGACAAAAGCACATTTCTTACAATTGCATTTCAGACAAAGCATTGAACAAGGAGGAGGGTGGAAATCAGGGGCATATATGTTTTACTGGTTTTCCAATTACTGTGAAAAAAAATGTGGTCAAAAGAAACTGAAAGAGGAGAGAATCCTGTGATTGTGCTTATTGACTTTTATCACTAAATTAAGCTTATAAATGACCTGAACGGGTGGCTTGGTATATTAAATGAAAAAAAGAAGAACAATGATTCTCTCTTCCCTTTCCCTCCCTCTCTGATCTCAGCCTGAAAGGAGTCTCGGGGAGATAAGAAAGATGGGATTCGGTTGCGCTGCTCTGGTCCGTCCTGCTTCTCCCGGGATTGGGAAGCAGTTGCCTTCAACGCAGGATTTCCGTTCGGAGTTTACAAGAAGCGGTCTCAAGCCGGTGTTGTCCCAAGACCAAAGCCTTGGGGAACCTTTTAAATGCTCGAGCGCAAGGGAGGCTGCAGTGGGCGGGCGTGGACACCTCGACCCTCGCCTCGGGGTTGGAGCCGCCCAGCGTAGGAAGAGGGCAGAAGTGGGCTCGCGTCTACGCGGGTATCCGAAATGAAAAAGCTGCAAACTACGCAGAAGTCCGGGGTTGAGGTGCGGAAAACAGAGCAGAGCGCCGCGTGGGTTCTCGAACACTCGTACGAATGGGTTTTCCTAGAGAAATTATTTCAGATTCTGGAAACAGGGCTCCTCTGGGCGCTGGCCGCGCGGCACTGGAGACATGGGTGTGAGCCTGGCCCAGCAAAAAGGGTCCCCCGGGTCGCGCAGAGGAGCGCAGCAGGCTCCAGACCCCGGGGGAGCCGGCGGAGGATTGTTTCATTTCAAAGTGAAAATCTGCAGGCTTTGGGAAACGATATTCAAAAAAGTATATAATCTCCATATGCCGCTCAGTGGAGGATCCTCATAATTTACAGCGGCAGATAAGGCTAGAGGGTGTAATAACAAATCTGAAGCCCTCCCCTCCCCCTCGCCGCCTCCCCGGAATTGCACCTTGGGCAGTGGAGCAGAATCCGGAATGTGAACTTCTCCCGACATATGTTTCCCGCAGATAAATAAACAATCTGGACGTGAAATGGAAATGGTAATTAATGCAGTAATGCTGTTACACCTCGAGTGTGCAAATCCCATTGACTCGCCGCGCCACGGGGGTGCCGGGCTAACGCGGACTGGAGGCGTGCGCCTCGGCCGCCGGCTCCCTCCCTCTCCCCTCCTCCTCCCTCGGTCCCGGGTGAGGCGCCCGGAGAGCCCGCGGGGGCTTGGCCCGGCTGCAGGAAGTCGGGAGCAGCTAAGCGGCACTCGGGACTCCGAGATCTCCGCCCTCTGCCAGCTAGGAGGGTGCGCCGCGCCAGCTCTCCCGCGGCACCAGGCACGCGCCTCACATCCACCTCCCCTCCTTCTCACCGCCTATTAGCGCCCGCAGAGCCTCGGGGCTCCGAGGTGCGGCCCGACCCTGAAACACCTAGGAGAGGCAGGGAGCGGCGGGCGGCGCGGAGCCCTGGAGGTGCAAGGAGGACCTGCACTCAAGTGCGGTGGATCGTCTCGCAAGCGTCCGTGGGGTCGCCTCCCAACTTCAGGCCGAGTGGAACCCGGCAGGCCGGCAGAGTTTTCCGAGTGCCTGCCTCGAAGGCGGGGATCCGGAATGCATTGCTTCTCCCAGCCCAAGAGTGAAAAAGTTTGGAAACGGCCACCGGCTGCCAGAGTAGCGCAACTCGTCCACTTGGCAGCAAAGAGGAAGCTCGTGGACTCCTTTCGGTCTCTATCCGGCCTAGGCACCTGCTCCCTTTCCCAACTCGTACCAAACTCTTGGGGCCTTTGAGGGGTCAGAGAGGATGCCCAGAGCAGAGATGAGAGCAGAGAGGGCGGAGAATCAGGGAGGCTGCCCAAGAACGCCCCGAGCCTGGGGCTCTTCCCGCTTTCCGAGAGCACAAGTCACACCCGGGCCCGAGGGACAGGCGAGGAGTTCACGAGTGACGCTCCGCTGGACGCAGGTCAGGGGGCTGGACGAGAAGGGGGTGTCGAAGCTCCCTCTTTTCTCCTTCGGTCCCCTCCCAGTGCCACGGCGGACACTACCAAGCTGCCGGCCCCAGGCGCACACAGAGCCGAGATTCAGGCAAGGTGACCGCAAGTCTCGGGTTTGGTGTGGACGCCCCAGGATTTCTAGCGGCCCACACCCTCCCCCAACATAACTTTGTTTCTTCATTACTCTGCGGCGGCCCTGCACTAGCGTTTCTGGCTCCAAAACAAGTCTCATCCCATAGCGCCAAGAAAGAAATCAGCCCCAGTAGTGCTCCTGGGTCTGCGAGGTCTCCGAGGCCAGGGCAGGGCCACAGCCTAGGTGCGCGCGCCCCTCGGCGGAGGCGGGAAGCACCGGCCCCAGTGTCTCCTGAACCCAAATTTAGTGGGCCCCTCTGCCTCTGTCTTCCTCTTTTAACACTTCTACACAGGTACAGTGAGCCCAGTAAAAAGGTGAGAGTTCTTAACAGGAATCTTGTGAGTTACCGGATATTTAAATTCAAATGACTTGAAATTCATTGTCCGCTTGGACAATGGTGGCAAGGCCTGATCTGGGGAAGAGCCGAAACAAAGAAACAAACAAGCAAACGAGTCCTCCAGGGCAGTCCTGGCGCCACCGCTCTCCAAGTTTCCCGGGCCTTGGCAGTCTGGGATCTCTCCAAAGAAGCTGCCCGCGCTAGAGAGAGTTCTCTGGATGATGTAATGAAAGTCCTCTAGGCCCTACCCTGCCTGCAATATCACCCCGTTTTAGATGACTGGAGAGATTCCTGGAGGTTATCTAGATCCTGTTTTAAAATGCAAATATTAAGGGGTTTCAGAACCCAGCCACTACCACCTCAGTACGTCTTACTCTTAAGTATCAGATCTTTCCTATCAATGAAGTTAGCAGTTCTCAGGAAATTGATACTTAAATAAGAAACTGGAAGGGTATCAAAGGTGTTTGGAGTAGGATCCAAAACTGGGGGAGGGCAAGAAAAGCTGCAGAGGGTCTCCAGGAGAAGTCGGGGGCGGAGGGGATCCAACCATCCTGCATCTCCCAGAAGAATGTGGCCAGTGTGTCCTTGAGCCAAATGGCTGCCAAGGTTTAAGAAAGAAAACCTAACAGCCAAACAACTCTGCCTTTGCCGCGCCAGAGCCGCCCTCTGCCTTCCGAAGCGGTCTGTTGGCCAGGTTTCTGCGCTCCTAGAAAAAGCCCAGAAGAGGAAAGGCAGGGGCAAGCGCAGCTGCTATTGGGTCATTTTTTGTTGTGGTTGTTCCCTAGAAGCAATCGCACCCGCAGGCGAGAGGCCCGGGTCTGCCTTGCAGAGCCTGCCCGAAGGAGGCGAGTGGCGGGCAGAAGTCCCGGGCTCTCCGGCCGTGGGACGCGCGCCAAGTGCGCAGGGCTCGATGGAGTGGCCTTCTGCAGAGTCTCGGGCGCCCGGCGCGCTGAGGGAGCGCTCATTCTCCAGACCAAGCAGTCTGGCCGAAAGAACTCCTGGTGGCTCTTTGCGCGTCGCGCGCTCGGGAGAAGCGGCTCTCCTCGACTCCGGCGGGCGGGGCACTGCTCTCCCTACAGGTTTGCTTTAATGATTTTCTGGTGCCCCTTCCCAGCCTAACCCCGCCTGGAAGTCGGCTGGGCCGGCCGGCTGGGGGGTGCGTCGGGTTCCTCCTCTGCCTGGGGTTCTCTGTGGACCCAAGGTGCTGGTGCGCCGGGCTCTGCGAGGAGACACCCAGACCCCTGTAAGCTCCATCTTAGAAGATGTTAAGGGACACTGAGCTATGAGGGAGATCAGAGCGGTTGACAGGACTGTCAGTTGAGGTTATATCACAGCGAAACGGCGAAGCCTCCGCCCTGGGCCTCCAGGGCTTTCTAGGGGGAGGGAGGAGGGGCTTCCCCTAAGCGCCCGGAGCCCCCAGACCGGACGGCCACCAGAGGCCGGATTTCTTTTACAGAACAAAAATCATAACTACATATTTAAATAAACATGGTATACTTTCAATGTTTCTGATGTTTACACCAAATTTTCTAATTAAATTTTTGTAATTAGTCTTACTTTTAGGGCACTTCATTTTGCTTACCATTTGCTTTATATACATTTTTTTTTTCTTTTTGACCACACCTCACAGCATGTGGGATTTTAGTTACCTCACCAGGGATCAAACCTGAGTCCCTAGCATTGGAAGCACAGAGTCATAACCACTGGACAACCAGGGAAGTCATTGCTTTATGTACTTAAAACTGAAAACTCCGTATGTTTTAACTCACAAAATATTTAAGACAAAAAAACTGAAATTCCATTTCATCCCATTAGGTTTCACTTCCTTCCTAAGGATATGCCCTTGTTTCTATATGCTCTTTTAGCCATTTTCCTGTGTGTTTCCATAAGTAATTATGCATATGCTTTTTTATTTTCATAAATGTCATCATGTTATTCATGTTCCCTTTTTAATGGCAATACTGTTATTTATTTAAAGTTTTCACTTCACAAGGAAAGGTAAAACTATATGATACTGAAGTTAGGATTTTCTGGTATTTAAAAATGCAGTAAGCAAGGCTAGTGGGAAAGGGTTGCAGACTTTAACAATATTCACAACCTAAAAATTGAGAGTTCTGTTTTATTTGGTGCAAAATTTTAGGGCCTCAAAACCAAGAGCTAGCACCTCAAGTAACCCTGAGAGAAATGCTTCCAGGACAGGAGAGAAAGAGCCAGGTGATATAGAAGTTTTGTAACAAAGGGTAGGTGGTCTTAACATCAAAAGATTATTGCTAAAGAAAACCAGGTATCTCAAGTTAAGGAATTTAGCCCTGTTTCTGTGTGAGAAGATGTAGGAGACTGGGCTCACTGAAAACATTCCTGTGATATGCATTGCAGCTATTCTGGGGCCAGAATCCTATGTTTTTCACATCCTGAGCTGGCTTGGCACTCACTGTAGGCAGTGGCTGCAGTCTGATAGCGGGCATTCATCTCCTTCCTAAGTGCCCTTAGGGCTCACCAGCTCACCATCTATGGTGGCTACAATTGCTGGTGACTGTGACGTCCTTGCCTAAAGATATGGCAGGAAATATTACATCTCTCAGGTATGTTGGAGATTCAGAGGTCAGGGCTGGCTTGGAGGCTGGGTGTGCTGGCCCACCACATTCCATCACTGGAAAAACAAATTCTTGTGATTGAAATCAGTGGCAAAGGAAACAAGTTGAACCTCACATCTTTTCAAATGTATGCAGTGAATGCTGTCTTTATATATATGGTGCATTGATTTGTAAGTCTTTTACAAGGTTCTAGGTACTGAGTTCGTATTTTTGTTTTTGCTAATTATGTTTACTTTTCTGTTTTGGCAAACTATATCAAGGAAATAGTATGCACAAATAAGCACAGGATGTGAAAGTTTATTCTTCTTCCCAGATCTATTTCCTCCCATTCAAGAACATCAATCATTACATAATTTCTATAAGATTCTGGAGTTGAAAGCCCATCCTGGGTATTATACAAGTGTTCTTTTATAATCCTTTATGCCATTTCTGATTAAGGTAATTCACATTGCTTTCATTATCGTTTTTCTTTTATTAAATCACCACACTAACTTGGTGACAATGACTTAAAGGAAAGAAATAGGAGAAAGGCCTGGATATGCTGCTGGACACACTAGCTACTTTTATTGGTCTGAGGTTTAAGCAGGAACCCAAAATTAAACATTGATCCTAGGAATGCAATGATGAAATTCAAACATACTTTTCCCATCCCATACTGTGGGAAATTGTCCAATCCTGGTCCAATGTGAATATTCTACTAGGACATTTTATATCAGATGAGTTCTGAAACATTGATATATAAACATTCTGAGCATAATTAGTGAAATAAAATCTCAAATTATTGCCACACATAAAATTCTTCCTGCATTTAAAGTAGTCTTCTCAAGAGAGTATGATTTATCTTTCTACAGTAAAAATTCTTTTTACTGCAATATCTTGCAGTCTATAGTACATTATAAATCCTCTTTTTGAATGTACAAGCTGAGAGTTACACCAGAAAGAAACTATTCTTACTGAGCTCTTTAAAGACATAGAAAGCTTTGGAAAGAAATACATGTCTCTGGAGAAATCTCCTGACAAAGCAGTAAGGGAAAAGTCACACTACATTTCATGCAGCATTTGTCTTGTTTAATAAGAGCTATATCCCAAAATTTGTTTTAATTACTGATAATTAGGAACATTAGATTTAAAGAGGAAATCAAGACTACCTTAATACTAGGTTAAGCATACTGGTATAAATTGCTTTTATGAAAATGGCATCCCTCTGATACTGGCATGCAGATTTATTCTCAAAGCTTTTTAACTTTTCCTAAAGATCAAGGGCAGAGTGTTTTGAAGTTCCTATTTTGTTATAACTCGAGACCAGTATTTAACAATTATTACTTTAAGAATCATGGCTTATGTCTGAAGGCTGAAATAAGAACAGATCATAAGCACAGCAGAACAGGAATTTAAATGGATATATGGAGAATATAAGAAGTATTAAGTTCACCATAAAATCAGTGGTATATTTATTAAAATACTTTATCACATTTCTTTCTAGAAAAAATATTTAAATTTTAAGTGGTATGAAAGAGAAAAAGGGAAAGGAAAAGCCTTCATGTGCTTTTCATTGAACTTTCTTGCAAGAGTTTTAAATGATACCATTGCATGCCGATGAAAGACAGCTGATCTGCCAGTGACATTCTTATTCCTGCTGAGAACTTATTTTGAGTAATATTCAGTCAGTTGAAAGCAACTTCAAACTATCAATCTGATACAATGACAAACTTAAAAGAAAAGTGCTGGTCACTCAGTCCTGTCTGACTCTTTGCGACCCCATGGACCAGGGGTCCACCAGGCTCCTCTGTCCATGGGATTCTCCAGGCAAGACTATTGGAGTGGATTACTATTCCCTTTTCCAGGGTATCTTCCTGACCCAGGGATTGGAACCTGGGTCTCCTGCATTAAAGGCAGATTCTTTACCTTCTGGCCAACTCAAATATACAGCTGGATAAAAATTTCAGTAATGTTATTTGTTGATTGCTTACTAAAGGCAGATCCCTTAATGTCTTTTAATTCATAGATCTTCATCTCTCAAACTGGGACAATCCTGTCTACTTTGGAGGGCTGTTGTGATGTGTCAGTGAGGTGCTAGGCTGCGTCAGGACAGCTTCTCGATAAATACTGCCTTATCC